ATACACACACAATCTATCCATTCTATACACTATATAGTATACACACACACACAATCTATCCATTCTATACAATATATAGTATACACACACACACAATCTATACACTATATAGTACACACACACAATCTATCCATTCTATACACTATATAGTATACACACACACAATCTATCCATTCTATACAATATATAGTACACACACACACACACAATCCATTCTATACAATATATAGTATACACACACACACAATCTATCCATTCTATACAATATATAGTACACACACACAGTCTATCCATTCTATACAATATATAGTATACACACACAATCTATCCATTCTATACACTTTATAGTATACACACACACACACACACACACACACACAATCTATCCATTCTATACACTATATAGTATACACACACACAATCTATCCATTCTATACAATATATAGTATACACACACTCTATCCATTCTATACAATATATAGTATACACACACACACAATCTATCCATTCTATACAATATATAGTATACACACACACAATCTATCCATTCTATACACTATATAGTATACACACACACAATCTATCCATTCTATACAATATATAGTATACACACACAATCTATCCATTCTATACAATATATAGTATACACACACACACACAATCTATCCATTCTATACAATATATAGTACACACACACAATCTATCCATTCTATACAATATATAGTATACACACACAATCTATCCATTCTATACAATATATAGTATACACACACACACACACAATCTATCCATTCTATACACTATATAGTATACACACACACAATCTATCCATTCTATACACTGTATAGTATACACACACAATCTATCCATTCTATACAATATATAGTATACACACACAATCTATCCATTCTATACACTATATAGTATACACACACACAATCTATCCATTCTATACACTATATAGTATACACACACAATCTATCCATTCTATACACTATATAGTATACACACACACAATCTATCCATTCTATACAATATATAGTACACACACACACACACAATCCATTCTATACAATATATAGTATACACACACACACAATCTATCCATTCTATACAATATATAGTACACACACACAATCTATCCATTCTATACAATATATAGTATACACACACAATCTATCCATTCTATACACTATATAGTATACACACATACACAATCTATCCATTCTATACACTATATAGTATACACACACACAATCTATCCATTCTAAACAATATATAGTATACACACACACACAATCTATCCATTCTATACAATATATAGTATACACACACACACAATCTATCCATTCTATACAATATATAGTATACACACACACAATCTATCCATTCTATACACTATATAGTATACACACAATCTATCCATTCTATACAATAGTGGAAAATTTATTCATACTTACCGTAATTTTCTTTTCCTGGCTATTATTCATGGCAGCATATACACATGGGTTAGCTCCTCCCCTACAGCCGATAGGACAGGAAAACCACCAAGGTTTTAAAAGGAGGCTCCATCCCTAAGGTCCTCAGTCAGTTTGCAAGCTCTACAGTACATAAATAGAGACATTAATGGGTGGGAAGTATATGCTGCCATGAATAATAGCCAGGAAAAGAAAATTACGGTAAGTATGAATACATTTTCCACTTTCCTGGCTAATCATGGCAGCATATACACATGGGGAATACCCAAGCTTACAGAGGGAGGGACAGAATAGCCAATCAAATTATCAGAATAATTCAACATAGATAGAAGAATGAACTGAGTTAAGTACTTGAGTACCAAATTGTGCATCATAGACTGTTTTAACAAACAGTATGAAATGCCAGACAAACGTGTCTAAAGAGTTTCAAATGCTAGTTTACAAAAAGTGTCAGCAGAAACCATGATGCTGCAACAGCATGAGAGGAGAGTGCCCTGATACCCTCCAGCACAAGTAGAGAACGGACGTGACGTCCAAATTGTGCCTCATTAATTGCTTCAATGTCCAATATGTAATGCAGGACAAACTAGTTCAAAGAGGTCCAAATGCCAACTTTACAAAGCTTCAGCAGAGACCATTGCCATGGAAGCCCACGAGAGGCTGTAACAGCACTAGTGGAGAATGCCCCAAATCCTTTGCTACAGGTAGAGAACGGCATTGAAAGGCTCTCACTTTAGGCACGATCACTGGTGCTACATGCAAGACAACCATATCCTGTTGAAATTCAGTGAATGGGGGTACACAGGATCAAGCCTGGAGTTCACCCATTCCCCTTCCTGGGGTACAAGCCACCAGCACTTTCTGTGCTACCACCATGGAAGCTCCTTCTAGAGGTTTGAATAATGGTTCAGTCAGGGCCCGTGAGACCAGTGGTACGTCACATATTGGCTTCACCACACTTAGTGGAGGCATGATTTCAATCAATGCCTATATGAAGCAAAGTGTAGCTAAGTGCACACATTCACCCTGCTGAGGTACCAGTCACCAGCAACAGCAACGTCTGGGCTAACATCATGGAAGCTCCTGCTAGAAGTTCAGTCAGAGTCTGTGAGACCAGTGGTACGTCACATATTGGTTTCAACACCCTCAGCGGAGGCTTGAGTTCAATTGTTGCTTACATGAAGCAAAACACCAGGGGCATCAACGCTCAATCGGTACCCTTCAGTACAGGTAGAGAATGACATAGATAAGCATTCACCATAGGCAGGATCTTCAGGTGCCAAATGCAAGACGACCATATCTGTTGAAAAGTAGTGAAAGGGGGTTCACAGGATCAAGCCTGGAGTTCACCCATTTTCCTTGCTGGGGTACCAGCCACCAGCACTTTCTGTGCTAACACCATGGAAGCTCCTTCTAGAGGTTCGAATAATAGTTCAGTCAGGGCCTGTGTGACCACTGGTACGTCACATATTGGCTTCACCACACTTAGTGGAGGCATGATTTCAATCAATGCCTATATGAAGCAAAGTGCAGCTAAGTGTTCCCCTAGAGTGTTATAACACAGAACCTTTCAAGGCCTGAACGAGGAGTAATTCCAACAGACAAAAGCATGTCAAGATTAGTAAAGCCTGTATAGGATTGTAAGAGGATCTCAATGACCGTCTCAGGGATGCCTATACTAATATGGACTCCCGCATCAACACCAGAACTTGAGGATCCTGGTGTGTCATGGGGCCTTGTAATAGGTCTGGACGTACAGGAATTTCCCTTGGAGGTTCCAGTATAATCTTATTCATCATAAGAATTAGAGTGGACACGGTTTTCCACTGTCACCTTTTGCATTGCCTTTTTAAGAAGGTCGAAAACAGGAAAATATGTACATCAGACTAAAATTCTAAATTTGAGCCAGTGTATCCTGAACCTGAGCATTCTAGTTCTAGCATGTAAAAAAATACTTCTGGACCTGGTAGTTCCAAGAAATGGCCATCAGATCTATGTAGGGTATCAGACAATCTGCGTCAACCACGAGGATACGTCAGGACATGGTTGCCAATCCACCTTGTCCACAGTTATTCGGCTCCAGCAAACAGTCATGGTATTCTGAGCCACTGGTTGTTCTTCTGTGCCCTGATCATTATGGGCTGGAATTCCATCAATACGTATCTGTGAGACCCATCTTGGTAGATATAGGATACAGTTGCATTGATATTTGAGCAAATTTGGACCCACTCGTTCTTCAGCAAGCCTCTGAAGTGAAGAAGAGTCTTGAAAATGACTTAATTCCATACAAATTAATGGAAATATTGTGCAACATGGTCCAAACACTGTGTAACCAATCTTCTAAAAACTGGAATTCGAGCTAATAATTGACCAATGAGGTTCTGTTCAATGGAAACTCAGATCTAATCCCTCTTTCAGCTGCCAGGGTAAGGTGCAACTCCACTGATGGGGACATAGTAAGTGGCTGGCTCCAATAATCTTTCTCTTGTTAGACCAAGATAGGAAGGATCTGTAAGGAATCCAGAGATGCCATTGGGCCCATCTGACAAGTCTGCTGGTGGAAGCCAGGATTCCTAGAAGTTGCCTCTATTTTCTTGCTGTTACCAAGCAGAAATGAAGAAACTGGGAGAGAAAACCTTTACATTCTGTGGAACTGTTCCCGAGATAGGGAAAGGCAGAGCCTAGAATTTTCCACTCAGGAATGTCAACCACTGAGCTGGTCTGAAACTGCTTTTCTTGATATTCATCAAGCAGCCAAACTTTAGGAGTTATGAAAGAACTATATACCTATGTGTGCCTGCCTTCTGAGGGTCTAAGGCTATCAGAGGTAGATCCTCCAGATAATGGAACCCGGTGGAGTTCTGGACTCTCAATAACACTATAAGCAGATAGAAAGATCCTTGGGGCCGCATTGAGGCCAAATGGTAGGGCACTAACATGGAAGTTCTCTTCTGAGCTAATGCTGAAGATCTCTGCAGATTGGACTGAAAGTAAGCATCCTTGAGATATATAGGTCTGATTGACTCCAGATTGCTTGAGATATGGATCTGATTGACTCCATCCCGAAGACTAACATTCAGCCTCTTGTTGGCCCCTCTTAAGTCCAGTGTAGGCTTACATGTGCTTTTCCTCTTAGCACCAGAAGAGAGGCGAAACTTGTCCCTGGAACTGCTCTTGTTCTGGGACCTAAAGTATTTATTATTATTTTTTTTTTTTTCTCTTCGTCTAGAAGGCTTCTTCCTTCAGTGTTTTACCTTTTGATTCATTGGTCTTAATACTCCTGTTGGTATGGAGACTCCTGTGCCCGTTAAGAAAAAACTCCAGTCTATATCAATCTGGACCATGGATACCACTCAAGCCTCCAGAGTATGACAAGCCCAGGTATGTGTGATCAGAAAAATGAGGCTCCTAGTACTGGAGGAGATATGTTCATTGCTGAAGAGCAAAACGACTGCGTTATAGCTCCATTAGAACCTTAAAAGGCAGGTTTACCAACTGCCATGAGTTACCTCTGGAGTATTCCCTGCAGGGCCAGTAGCACAATGTATCTCAGAAATACAGGTCACTGGAGGTTCTCCGGTCAGACTATGAGGAGCTGGGATCCTTGGAACTTCTATCCTAAGGTACCAATATCTTGCAGCCCTCATTCGCCTTTTCAATGGAATTATCAGACGTTTTCCCAAACAGCACCACCCCTTCAAATAGAATGGTGTAGAGGGCAGACTTGGAGGATGAGACATCATCCCAGAAACAGAACCATAATGCTTTCTTAGTTGCTATAGATAAAGCCATTTGATCCAGAGAATATCCTAGTTACATCTAGGATAGTTTCTGTGAAGAAATCAGTTGTAACCTGAAGACCTCAGACTGCATCTTCAATCTTGGCTTTTAATATCTCTCTCCATAGTAGCCTTTAGATCTTTAATCACATATTTCATGTTTGTAGAAACAGCAGTGGAAATCACAGCTGGCCAGCCTCCTGTAATGGTAGGCGTAAAATTTTGGACAGGTCTGCGTCCACCTATGATCCATAAGTGTGCAACTTAGGTGGTGTAGTTCTGGGGTTGGAAATAACGTCCTCCACAGGGTAAAGCCTGGCCTCCTTTCTTACCCCTGAGGCCTCTGGAACTTACTTTGTAAGCCCTGCCCGCATGTCATGTGGCTGCACAGTGATAGGTCATGCTGAAGCGACAACCTTCTGGAGGCAGTCAGTGCATAACCGATTCCATCCACTGTTTTCTCCTCATAACCAGATCCTGGTGAAAAATCAGACACCTGACAAATAACTAAATATTACCTGTGGTAAAGTATTAAGAAAAAATGTGCACTGTTAAATTATATAAGAAACCAGCGAAACAGCTTTAAAACAGGCTGAAGACAGCACTTATCCATGTCTGGAGACCCTGCAAATACTTACACCAATAAGTGTATGTTTACTGTAAGTTTCCCTTTATTTTAGGCACTTTCTGGCAATTGCCCTTATCCAAGATGGCTGCCACAACTTGTATTCCCACAAGTCATCTGTATTAGGCCCAATAAGGCACAAACTGCACACATGTGGGCCTATTCTGAGTGTGTTTGCTGTTAGAGACCAGGAAGAGGACTCTGTCTGAAGCCTACATGGCCCCTAAACACCCAGGGAACCGGGAATAAATCACTGGGACCGAGGGGGAAGCAAAATAGATAACAAAAAGTGCCTGCAAGGAAGTTTAAAAGGCAACCACGTGCAAAAAGGTCAAAGTTTAAAGGCACCACAGTCTAAAGGCCTCAAGGTATAAAAGGTAACAGTTTTCAAATTTAACACAGTTTCCAAAATGTAACAGTTTTTAAAATATATCATTCTTCAAATGCACTGCAGTTTTCCAATGCACTGTGGTTTCCAATGACTTGCGGTATTACATGCAACAGAATTAAATGCCAATTTAAATGAAAACAGTTTTAAATGCCACACAGCTTAAATGCTTCCTAGCAAAAGCACAACCGCATAATGTACCACAATCTTAAAAATAAGGTACAGCTGTATAATGTACTAGTTTAACCCCTTAAGGACACATGGCATGTGTGACATGTCATGATTCCCTTTTATTCCACAAGTTTGGTCCTTAAGGGGTTAAAGATATCAAAGCTTAAATGCATCACAGCATAAAAGCACAACTGCATAATGTACTACAGTAAAACAGCAAATAAAGTAATGAAAATAAAACAACATACATGTCCGTAAGTAAAGGGAGCAAATTGCTCACGTCCTAAGGGCTGTAGGACAGGAAAAAGACTGAGGACCTTAGGGATGGAGCCTCCTTTTAAAACCTTTGTGGTTTTCCTGTCCTATCGGCTGTAGGGGAGGAGCTAACCCATGTGTATAT